CCCGCCCCCAGGATGTTAGAAGCATAAAGTTTAACAGGAAGTACGGACTAGAGAGTAACAGGAAGCTCAGTTCCAGCCATAGATCTCCCAACTCCCTGGTCAATTTCCTTAAAGTGCCAGTCGCTTTTATCAAGCCAATCGCTTTTGTCAAGAATGATCATCTGGCCAAATGATTTCAGGCTTGGATACATTTTGTGATATGCAATTATTTCAGATTCCAAGGTGAGTAGAACTTCCGAGGTCTATTTCTACTAATGCCATAATTTACCAATATATTATTGGAACATTATTTTTGCTGCAGTCTCTTCACTTCCACATCTCCCTTTTCCCAAATGTACAAGGCTGTTAGAAGTTTTAAACACTTTGTAAGTATGAAGTGCAAAGCACAACGCCTGACACAGAAAACAGCTAACAAACATTTGTCAAATGTCTGAATGAATGAAAGCATCCATAACACTGTCGCACTGCTTTCCACACTAGTTTACTAACTTCATCCCCGCCAGAGATTCCCAGAACAATGTTCAAATCACAGAACATTTTATTTAACTCGGGGTGAGTCACTGGGAAAAGAATATAAACAAACGCAAGCGGTTTCCCTTATTAAGCAAGGACGACATGACATAAGTGAGAATGCCCTATCTTAAGACTTGGAAAGTATTAAATTGGTTACACTAATAGCAAGCTCCGTAAAGAAAAAGACCCCCTTGAATATTTACGGCGCTCTTCGGGGTGCCACATGCCAAGCACCTGAACTCAAAGAACCCCTCCTCTCTCCTCCCTGCAAAGCAGAGACGGCGGGAAATGAGTAGCCGGTCGCGTACGTTGCCCCGAGGGTCGCCACCAGCGCCGCCAAGCCCCTCCGTGCCCCGGCTCGCCATGCACGCCCGCCAAAAGCTACGGGGCGCACCTCCACAGCCCGGGCGACCGCTCTTCCACAGCGGGCTCCGGACCATCCTCCCCGGAAATACCCGCTTATCTGGCAGCTCCGGTGGTCGCTGCGGACCCGCGCCGACCCAAGAGCTCACGGCTAATACTCACCCATAGGGGATACTATTCTTCTTCACCATGACGCGAGAAGTACGGATGAGGCTCCCAACGACCCAGGCCACACCGCTCTCAGGCCTCTTCCAGAACAGACCCCAGAGCAGCTGTGGCCACTGGGGCACACACCCAGGTGGCGGGTGATCAAATCCGAGGGCTCCTGCCAGGCGTGTTAGTCAGACCAGCACGAGAGTGACCGACTTCGGCGCTTCAATTTGAGCCACAAGCCCAGGCAGCGTCGCCAGTCGAACAGACGTACCGCACAGATTCCGGAAGGTGCACACTCCACGCATGCTCGAGACCCGGCAGGCTGGCGGCCCGCATCGCGCATGCTCCTGGACCGCCTTGACGTCAAGCCCTAGGAGCTAGCGCGAGGCAGGCGCGGGGCGTGAGGTGCGAACGTCAGGAGCGGTGCGAGGCAGTTGGCCAGCTCTCCTAGTCTGCGGCAAATGGTGCGTCCTGCCTTCGCTGCCCAGATATAACCAAAGTGCACTGTTCATGCAGGTGAATGTTGTACTGCCGGCTAAAGCCCCCCCGACCCTTCCCTGTCAGACTCTCCTGGATTTTGATGGGTTGGAGCGCTGGTTTTTGGGAAAAGCTAGCGGGGCGGGCCAGGTAGCCAGGGCCAGACCCGCACGGGCCGCTGGGACTTGTAGTCTCCATGGCCTGACCGACCCGTTATTCATTCCCTTTAGAAATTAATAGGATTAGGAACCACTCCATTTTACAGCATTCAAGAGCAGTTCTTTGAGTGCCTACTGTGTGCTGAGCACCTTGCTAGGATTGGTGGAGTTTAGGTGAGCCCTTGCCCCAGCTCTCATCTTCACTTTAGGGCAGAAAGATGAACTTGCAAAATGGGATGTAATGAACAAAAATTGTGAATTTGAAGTGCTATTGGGTCATAGAAGAGCCAGAGTCAGGAAAAAAACAACAACAAAAAAACTTCCTGAAAGATGTGGGGTTTGGAAAATGTAATGCTATAGATTAGGGGAAAGTTGGGAAAATCAAAGGATGGAAGTGGCAAGGAGTATAAAGACGAGGGATCAGGCTATAGTCGAAGGTTTATGTTGGAGAGCGATGAACAGGGCTTAGGTGGGGGGAGTGACTCGAAAGTCTTTTGGCCTCACTTTCAGAAAGGGCCTCCATTTTGAGTTTCTGTCCAATGGAAACTAAAGTACAGGCATGGAGATACATCTTCAGGTTTAAATAAAAGACAACATAACAGGACATACTTGTGTCATTTGTTTCTAAACCTAATGGCTGGTGTTGCTCTATGAATTAATACATTTTTATAAATCCTGTAGTTAACTTGTGAATAGTAAAATTACATTGCATTATGTGTGTTGATTCTTTTAAGTGCATTTTTTTCTGATTAAACAAAGAATTTAGCTAATTTGGACATGATTCTCTTTTGTTCTTCTGTTCAACATTTTTAATCACCCTCCGCACCTCTCACCTGAATGTCTCATAAGCATCCATAAGCAACATCGGAAAACTGAACGCGTACCCCGTACCCCAACTACCTTCCCATTTTACAATACTCGAAATGAGGCTACCTCTCAGTAACTCAAGCCAAAAACCTGCGAGTCGTTGATTCTTCCTTCACTGTGTGTTACACATTTAATCGTTCACCAAATCCTGTGAATTCTACCTTTTGATTTTTTGTAATTCAAGAATGGTTTATTAGAAAATATATAGCACTATAATGGATTATAAAACATGGTTATCTTTTTTAAATTTTATTTTTTTAATTGAAGTATAGTTGGTATGCAATACTATATTAGTTATATTAGTTTTAGGTGTACAGTATAGTGATTCAACATTTTTATATCTTACAATGTGATCTCCCCACTAATTCTAGTAATAAACCTCTCTCCAGTCTTTATTCCCACTTCTGTTTTTTTTATTCAGATCTCTAGCATTTCTCATTGGGACTGTTATAATGGCCTCTTAACCAATCTCCCTGTCTCCCAGGAATATCTCTATGTTTAATCAGATCTTGGGTGGGATCCCACTAATTTTAATTGAAATTATTCCTAGGAATAAAAAAAATTATATTGTTATTATGAAAGTGATCTTTTTCTGTTAACATGGGGAAGCTATTAACTTTGACATATTCTCGTATTCTGTCACTTTCTAGTTACGTCTAAGATTTTTTTACTGAGTATCTTGGGTTTTGTACATATAAAAATATCCTTTGCAAACAAGGATGATTTTATCTTCTCTTTAATAGTTATACCTCTTCTTTTACATGTCTTATTATATTAAATAGAAATGCTATTAAATACTAATGGTGATCAACTACTATATAGTAAAGGTGAGAGCATATTTCTTTATTTAGTTTTCAGTTAAATTAAAAAATTTAACATTTTTTTATCTCAAGTATCATAATAGTTGTTTTCTTTCAGTAATATGATATATCATTTTGGGTATTTTAAAAAATTTTTTATTAAATTTATTGGAGTGACATTGGTCAGTAAAATTATATAGGTTTCAAGTGTACAATTTTATAAAACATCGTGTATATATTGCATTGTGTGTTCAGCACCCAGAGTCAGTTCTCCTTCTGTCACCATATATTTGACACCTTTTACCCTCGTCTACCATCCCTCCTCTCTTACTCTCTGGTAACCACTATTGTCTGTATACTGTGAGTTGTTGGTTGATTGGTTGGTTGGTTGGTTGGTTTGTCTTGTTCATTTGTTGCTTTCAGTTTTATATCCCACATATGAGTGAAATCATGGTTCTCAACTTTTTCTGTTTGACTTATTTTGCTTAGCATGATAGTCTCAAGATCCAATCATGCTGTCACAAATGGCAGTATTTCATCTTTTCTTATTGATATATCATTCTTAAGAATATTTCTTATTTATTTAGAAAGTGGTAATGAAAGAACCATCATGAAAAAGAACTCAAAGAAAAAAGAAGATACTAAAAAAAAAAGTAAGGTATTAATGGAGTTTATAAGGATGTTGATTATACTAAATAGCCCAATTATAAATGTAGGATAATCCTGAAAAATCTGATATAGTTGGTTCTATATATAAATCATACAGTTCATATGTTAAAAAATGAACAATAAGAGAGCATAGGGATGAATTATACTCTTATTTGGTCTGTCAGTTATGTAATAAAGAGCATTAGAGATGAGTTGTTTATGCATTTACTTATTTATTCCCTTACTAAAATATTAATTTATCTGTTTTCAGCAAGCCAGAAATTCATTCCCTGCTTTGCTCAAAATAAAATGTTTTTCTTTTTTTTAAGTCAGTGAGTGAAACAAACATATAGGACTGATATCTACATGTCTCTTCAAGTAACTCCAATTAAGATTCATATATATATGTATATATATATAAAAATTATTATATATAGTCATATATATATAAATTTTTAAAAAAGATTTTATTGGGGAATTGAGGGAGAGAACAGCATTGGGGAATCGGGGAAGGGGAACAGACAAGTTGCTGTCCTTTTGTTCTTCAGTCTAGTNCTGCCTCGCCCGGGAAGAGCGCAATGATAATACCAACATGGGCCAGTGAAGCAACATCCTCCACAACTAGACTGAAGAACAAAAGGACAGCAACTTGTCTGCTCCCCTTCCCCGATTCCCCAACGCTGTTCCCTTCCCCAATTCCCCAATAAAATCTTTAAAAAAGAACTCATGAGAGACTCCTACAGGGTGACCATAAATTTCAAAGGAGAACTAAAGGGTACCCCTTGAAGCATGAAACAGTATTGAACATAAGGCAATATTTTATTTTAATCTCTAGATATTATGTTTATAGAATATTGTTTGAAAATATAAACAGTTTTGAATATCTACATTAAAGAGTGAGGCCCCAGCCTAAATTCACCCAATGTTTGGCAAGAATCATATACGATAATACTCTGCTCCCAATTTCAGGATTCAGGGACTGTTACTCCCACACCCATGCACAGCTGCAACGGCCCTTCCCATGGCAGACCCTCTGGTTTCACGACAGAAAAGCTCTAAAAAATGAGCAAATGGGTAGAGTAGGAGGAAGATGAAGCAGTATGGGATTGAGGATCCCAACTGTTTTGGATATGAATATGGTGGAATAAGGGTCAAAAATCTTCAGTGGGGTTACTCTAGCACAACAAATATACCGTATTTCCCCATGTATAAGACACACCCCTTTTCAAAAATCTTGGGGTCTAAAAACTGGCTGTGTCTTATACAGTGGTTGTAGATCGTTGTCAAGTCATTTAAGAAGTGTGGCATTTCAAATGCCATAGATGGAACAGAGGACAAGGCAATATATGAAGACAGTGATTCGTCATCAGAAACAGATAAGGACAAGCTAATGGTTGGGAGTTTTGACAGCGATGAGGAGTTGTATGAATTTTATGATGAATAAAACTCGAGTTCAATAACTTTATGTAATACATTTTTTTCAAATTTCGGACCTCAAAATTAAGGTGCGTCTTATACATGGGAGCATCTTATGTATATTACGTATTATGGGGAAATACGGTAATACCCACTAGGACTCATACTTGACAATGAACAGAATTTTACCTGGAAAAGAGGCTGAATCCAAAGTGTAACCACCAGGAATTGCTCTTAAAGAAAGGGAAGTTTCTCAAAGAACAAAAATAATACATAGAGCTTAACAAAAGTGTTCCAATTGGTTCAAATAAACTGAGAACATATCTGAGATACATTTCTAAAAATTTCAGAAATCCCTGAGAAAATGAGTTATTTCAAAAAAATAAAAGCAGACCATTTGACTCCAAATTCAGATGACTGCAATAATTCAAATCTGATGTATTCAAACTAAGTTTGTTAAGTAGCAGGATTTAACAAAGGTCATTTCTCACCCTCATTATCATATCTTTTCTCTTTTACTACCATCATGCCTACTCCTACCCTTCCCCCTCAAAAACCTCATTTCAAAATATTCCATAATTTTAAAAGGCAATTGTACATTTAAAAAATTATTTTCTAAATCTATCTCAATCAGAGTATCTCTTGTCGTCTGCGGCCATATATGTTTCTTCTCTTTCTTAAAACAAAAAAACTAAAACAAAAACCCTTTAGGAAAAGAGGTCAATGGAAGGCAAAAGTAAATCTATATCTTCAGATAAAAAAATCTGTTTAATGGTTTTACAGTTTACAAAGCCCTTTCATATTTCACTGTCACATTTCACCATAATCTCAGATGGGAGGGTAGGACAGGGAATAATATGATCATCCAGGTTGTTCAGGTGACAAAACTGCAGCTCACCAAGTTAAGGGACTCTAGATAGGGACATTTGAGGTAGATTCATGCTGTGAGGCTGACATCATGGAAGGTAACCATGCTTCTTAACAAAACAGTCCTTCACAGCACTGTCTACTTGGACTCAATATGACATTTTCTTCTGGGCACAATATCATAAATTAAGGTCCTTCCTCCCACTTACCCAGTATAGCTGAAGTTGCAAATTCAAATGCCAGGCAGGTTGACATATCTAATAAGACATGCCCCAAATAAAGA